CTACTTGATCTCATACTGATAGTTGAGAGTCTTGTTCGAAAAAGGTAAGACTCAAAAAAGCACAAAAAGACTACGCGCGAGGAGAACAAACGGTGAGATGGAGAGTTGTAGGAGATCGTGAGGGAAGGAGAAGAGAAGACAACAACTTGTCTTAGGACAGAAAGAGATCCTAAGACAAGATTGTTCTCTCACGACTGACGTTCTAAGACAGCAAATCCCAGGGGGGGTCAACCGTAGAGGAAGCACAGACTACGTTGACAACCTAATCAGGGCAAGTCTTAGAAGAACGTGCCGGACTCTCAACCGCTATGTTCTCCTGTAATGGACCAAGGGAATTCCTTGTGCCAGCGTCACTTCCTAACCAACAAATGAAATGAGCTGTGTGAGCAAGGAAGGAAAAACCCAAAACCTAAAAAGAGAATTGATCATCAGTACAACAACCAGTAAAGACAAGAATCAATGCAGGGGGGAAGTTCGAGATGAGAGGGAAGGGAAATCACTTGAGTGTTTAATCAAAAGTTCCAATAATGAACTTCTGAAGATTGGGAAATAAATGAGAAGATAAACTGAAAAACAAGGTGAGCAGTGCCAATAAGCAGAAACAATGATCAGTCAGGTATGAATGAAGTAAAGAAGAATGAAATGATAGACATGAAGGACAGAATGCAGAGCAGCAATGACTTACTAGGATATTTACTAGGATATCTTTTGATTGGACTGGAGTGGTGATTCAGATTGCCGATGGGAACCGGCACGCGAGAAACTCCTAAATGAGGACCTGGGATATTGATTGATCTGAACAGAGTGAGTTTTTTTTAAAAGGTATACTGGCAAAAGAAGACAAAGCAGTAAAACAGTTAGTAGAGAAAGATAAGATGTGTGGTTGAGGATTTGAATGAACTTACACGTGGGATACACCTGTTGATGGCTCAAACCGGAGGAGAGCTTGAGTTGCAAAGTTGAAGTGGCCACAGAACCGTGGGAGATCAAGGTGGTTGAGTGAGAGAATGAGATTGTCAAACATGTTTCATGGCACTCGGCTTTATATGAGATCCCACGAGTATGTTGGGTCCTTGCCGGTCCCGGACCAGTCACGTGAGGACTTGCTGACTGTATACACATGTATGTTGGGTATGGGGTTCTGAAAATATGGCTTTACATCTGGCCAGATTCAAACCCTCCCCGTCAGGAAAGTACCAGCCACTTGGGTTTTTTTACGGGATCAGGGCTTGCATCTGGCCAGATGCAAACCTTTGATTTGTTCACCAAATATGGGTTTATGCAGGCTGCAGGGTTTGCATCTGGCCAGATGCAAACCCTCAGACCTGTATAAATCTACAAGTGGTAAAAACCCATATTTGATGGGTTCATGCAGGCTGAAGGGTTTGCAACTGGCCAGATGCAAACCCTCAGGCCTGTATAAACCTATATGGTTGTGATGTCAAAGCCATGAGGTATGGATTTGTACAGGCTTGAGGGTCTGCAGCTGGCCAGTTGAAGACCCTGCCCATCATAAAAGTACCGACACTGCGGGTTGGTTCACGGTATCAGGGTTTGCATCTGGCCAGATGCAGACCCTCCTTGTGAGAAAAACCCCGCGGTGATGGTAATTTTACGGTACTTTCTAGACGGGGAGGGTCTGCATCTGGCCAGTTGCAGAGCCTCCCACCCATATATGATGGGTTTGGACAGGTTGGAGGGGCTGCAACTAGCCAGATGCAGACACTCCCCGTCAGAAAAGTCCTGTGGTTTGGGACTTTATGGTAGTTTCCTGACGGGGAGGGTCTGCATCTGGCCAGTTGCAGAACCTCCAACCCATAAATGATGGGTTTGGCCAGGTTTGAGGGTTTGCATCTAGCCAGTTGCAGACCCTCCCCGTCAGACAAGTACCGGTGCCTTGGGGTTTTTCACAGGATCAGGGCTTGCACCTGGCCAGATGAAAACCTTCAGACATGGGTCTGTGCAGGCTTGAGGGTTTGCATGTGCCCAGATGCAGACCCTCCCCGGCAGAAAAGTACCGGCACCGCGGGTTTTTTTTTGCGGGTTGAAGGGTTTGCATTTGGCCAGTTGCAGACCCTTCCACCCATAAGATATGGCTTTGTACAGGCTTTAGGGTTTGCATCTGGGTAGATGCAGACCCTCCCTGTCAGAAAGGTACCGGCATTGCGGGGTTTTTTCACGGGATCAGGGCTTGCATCCGGCCTGATGCAAACCTTGTGACATGGATTTGTACAGCTCAGGTATGGGTTTGTACAGGCTTGAGGCGTTGCATCAGGCCAGATGCAGACCCTCCCCGTCAGAAAAGTACCGGCACCATGGGGTTTCTTTGCGGGTTGAAGGGCATTTGGCCAGTTGCAGACCCTTCCACCCATGAGATATGGCTTTGCACAGGGTTCTTGTAACATCTATAAAGATTCAAATGAATCACTCTTGGCCTTGTATCAGCTATGTTCACAAAGGAACTACGTTGTTGAAGCTCTAGGATTAAGGAAACCTGAGGGCACAGGATAACATGTTAGACTAAAGCTTCAGAGCTTGTCAAACAACGAGGACACTACTGACCTGTGAGCTCAAAGTAAAAGAGAGCGCAAGGAGGTGATTGAAGACAGTAAAATGATTTATGATTCTTTTTGATGACACACCTGAGGGCACAGGATAATGTGTTAGACTAAAGCTTCAGATCTTGTCAAACAACAAGGACAGTATTGACCTACACACGTTCAGCAACACACACAACAAGGAAAACCTTAACAAAAGAGATGTCTAGACGTGAGCAGTAGAGAAAACTAAATACCTGTGAGCTTGAAGTAAAAGAGAGCATGAGGAGGTGATTGAGTTAAAGAACAGACAGTAAAATGATTTACTGAGATAACCAATCACGAGTTAAAAGATACATGGAAAGTAGTTAGTGATTTGAGAAAAACGTAACACATATTTGGGAAGCAGAATTTTAGGAGTGGAATTTAACTTACTGATTCTTTTGGATGAAGAAAAGAAATCAGAAAGTAGGAGAAAGAGAAAATAAGTAGAGACACCAGAAAAATTATTCCATCCCTTGACTCAATACACAATCACCCCCTGCTACATGCCTTCACCATCCCAATCCAGTAAAGCCACAACTCAATCCGGTAATGGCTTTTGACAATTACCAAGATAGGATATCTTAACAACATCATCTTGGAAAAGTGAGTATTGATTAACCAAAAAAGAGAGACAAGGAGGCAAGTGTAATGTGATGAAAATAATGATTTTGTTATTCACCTTGAATATAATTTTTGATGATTCATGGGCTCAAAATTCCATAGAGCTCCTCTTTGTGTTTGCCTAGTATGCCTGTACCTCAAAATTTCCAAGTTGAGGAAACCCCTCCTTACTGGGTGGGTGTCGTGGTACAACTGCATCCCTTTGATCTCCCACTTCCCTTTGTGTTTTTATTTTATTTTTTGGAACAAAGGGGATTTATGATATATAAACTGTCTCACTCTGGCTGAGTCATCCAGGAACTTTCTTCCCCTCAAGTCATCTTTCAATCACATGCAAAGCTCCTCTGCCCAGTCATCTCCTATTCAACATCCATCTTTAAGCACGAGTAGCCCACAAGAAGGTCAGTATTTCCCACCACAGCCTGGGCTAAGCAAATTGTTCCTAGCTGACATGTTTTAAATGTACAATTTCCTGTCTTGTTTTTTTCCTGTTTGGTCTTTTGTTCCCCGCATCTGCATTGCTCTTCTCAACCTGTGTGCCTCCTTCAAATCTGATCATGCTTGTGATTGCTCATCATCTCACCACATGATGACATCTGCCTATTTAATTCCATCAATCTCTATGATCACTCCTTTTCTTTTCCCTCATCACCCCTCCCACTATATGACATCTCTGCCAATTCTGCATTTCCATCTGCTTCTATTTCACTTTCACTCTCTGCTCAAGACTGCATCACCTTCCTCTTTGATTCTTGAAAAGACCCAACAGGACCTGCATTCAATGATCCAATGATGGACTGTCTGAACGGTTTGTCCTTTCCCATCCTACATACCAATTTAATCAAAGGAGAGCATCAATACCATATTCATTTCCTGTCCATCCTCTGCAGAAAATGAAGAGGAGGATCAAGGCTTGACCTATCAGCAAAAGTCTGCAGGCAAGTATCAGAAGATGAAGGATGAAAAGGAGAAAGCTGTTGAAACCAAGCAAAAGAATGATGAAGCACGCTTGAGAAAGACACCCAAAGATGATATTCCCTCAGGGCTCACTTCAGCTATCCACAAGTGGGCTAGGGCCCTACTGGGACTTCCCCGCCAGTCAACCTCACCCAACTCCTCTCAGATTGATCTTAATAAAATTACCCAACATCACCTGCCAAAATCAGCTGAGATTACTGAAGTGGAAGCTTGGAGTACTCATAACAAGAGTTGCTCAAACTATATAGAGTATGAGGTCAATCAAAAGATGTCCCAGAAACCAACCACCAATCCTAAAGCATCTGCTACTTACAAAGCAGAAACAAAGAAATCAATCACAAAGGAGGTAGTTGCACAATGGGGCAAACAGGATGTTACTGGAAAATTTGTTTCTAGGGTCTCTCAAAGTACTGCTTCTATTCAGAGTTACAAAAGAACTAGATTGGCTATAGCTGAAGCTTCTATGGCTTCTGCCGGCTTCCTGAGGTGTACGCTTCAATGAACTGATGCACTCAACACTCCTTGGAACTCTGCCATGCTCAACACTCTGTTGAACTCTTGGCTGGAGTGTTATTATTCCAAAGGTGTCCCTTCTTGCTATGATATACCCAAATCTGACAAAACACCAAAGCTTGCAAAAGAAATTCTCACCAAGTGGCTTACTCACAAGAGGGCTAGATATAATCAGGAGAACAAAGACAAAATACTCTTAGCAACCCCTGAAGGAGCAAGGAAATATGTCAAAAAGGTAGTAGAAACAAAGAAAAGGAGAGCCATGGGGGCCTTGAGGACCAAAGTGATTTTTCCCCCTACTTCTTCTCCAAACCTAGCTTCACTCACAACTGACATGAAATCCTCAGCTTGCTAAAACCCATACAGAAGCCCTTGCAAAACACATCACCACCTTCACGGGCACCTACAAACTCCTCCTTGTAATGGACAAAGTGCATTCAGAGACTGAGATGGTTCCTGCAACTAAAGAGAAGCCAGCTCACCAACAACGCATCAAGCTGCCCTGGAGAACCCCAGAACTGGACAAATTGGTTGATCTTGCTGATAAAATGGACCCAAAGCAGAAGGGCTTAACCCAGACCCAAAAAACTAACATCATGAAGGCCCAGGCAGACAGGGCCAAATAATCTACAGCTGAAGTTGACCCGGAAAACCAACTTCCACCCAAGGGATTCCCCAAGTGTTTGACCAAGGAAGAATATTTGAATGCCCTTGGGGAGCTGGAGGTTGAAGCCCTGGAGCTGTGTGAAGATCATATTGAACTCAAGACTCTCAATGAGCATCTGATGAAGAAGCTTGGAAAAAACAACCAAACGGATGTTGCATCTTAAGAATTGTTCCAGGATACTTCACTTTATAGAACTGTCAATGTGTTCATCTAATTATATTTGTTGCTCTTTCTTTTTCTTGGGTTTTCAATGTTTACTCCAAAATTTTATTGCAAGGTACAGAATCAAAGAAATGATTATTTTCGTCAAATTATACTTCTCTCTTTCTCCCTTTTTCTTGGTTATTCAATACTCACTTTACCAAAATTATATTGCAGGGTACATAAAAAAATTGTCATTTGTTTTCTTTTGTTTCAGAAAAAAATCATCAAGAAATCTTGTGTATTGCTTTATGTTGTAATGTGCTTTGAAAAAAATCATCATAAGTTGCACCGGAATTTCATTTTTATATTGTACCTGTGGTTGAAGAAGGAATGGATCTCAAATGTTTATTATTTCATGTTTCATATTTGCAAATTCATGCTCCCACTTTCACTTGGTTTGACTTTGCACCCCAAATGAGTCACCTAGCCCAGTCATATTGCAATCTCCACTTGATGGCTTGCTGCCTAAAAGACCTGGGGGTAGTACAATCATTTTCATTGTTTTTTGAACCGTACCACCATAGTGTCACTAGGTGTCACTGCATCAACACGTACTTGAAACTTGCAGAAGCTGGTGGAAGACACAGGAAAGTAGGGCTAGAGGTATATAAAGTGCTCCAGGTTGCACACCCATTCCTGTCCTCCATCTTCTTAACCATCACCCTCTCCTGTTTCATCAACTTCACTTAGGATCTTTCTCCAGAAAATCAAAACCAGAAAGTTTTTAGAGAGTTTTTATCGCCACTCATTCAAATGGGTAGGCCCTCTTCAGTTCTTCTGGTTTGAAAACTGCAAACTCATGACTCCACTCTACATTAATCTCAGCATCTTCCACTCAAAAAAGCTCAAGTGGTTGGGTGAATGGAACACCACCAAAGAGCTGCAAGGCAAAGAACAAGGCTTTGTGCGCTCACATCCCAGATCATAATCAGCCAATATGTAATTCATTTTCTGAGTTCACAAGATTCATGCTTGGCTACACCAGAACACATCAAGTTTATCCTGATTCACCGGACGGCAATCAACTCATGAATCTTCCATCTCTGACTATGGAAATGATCTTACAAGATACCTCAGTCTTCACCACTTACAACACTTCGGCCCATTCAGTTAAATCTGATTGGGCACCGTTCAAGACTCTGCTACTCAAAGACCTGGCCAATCACCAAATAGATAATAATACCACCTTTGAATGGGAAGCAGACCACGGGAAAAAAAGTACATGGAATCAAACAATGATTTTTTTTACTGTCAAGCATTGGAAGTTTGCCAAAGCTGCTTCTGCTTTTGAGAATTTTGGACTGGATCAAAACAACCCTACGGACCTTGTCCAAGTTGTAATCATGACTTGCTGGGTGATTGGGTGGATTGAAGAAATCAAGAGCAGATTTTGAGATCCACTCAAGGTTGAACAAAGGAGTTGGAGCAAAAAGCAAAGAGATGTAAGTCATGTTTATCCATTTAGGCATTCACCCGTTCGATTCTGATAATGTGTAATCAGCTCTAGAAATACCGTGAATCCACTCTTCAGCAACATTTTCCACAATTTCTTGACCTCCTCCCAAATCCAGACTGCTGTTCTGATACGGAAGACGACCCGCACCGACCAATCTGTAAATGGCTCAGAACACGGTTGGACCTATCACATTGGTGAATAATGTAAGCACCCTTCTCCAATCTTACAGGTATGCAGACCTGAGACTAACCTAAGTTTTACGGAGGAAAAGATAAGGTAAAATGTGAGATGATTTTGTAAGCTTTATAAAGCTCAAGACACAAGTGATATCTAATGGAAATTCTCTTGCCAAAATATAATTATATTACTAACTAACCTATCACGTTGGTGCAGAACATAAGCACCCTTCTCCAATCATACAGGTATGCAGACCTGAGAGTATCCTAATCACAAACAAGATAGAGAAAGATAAACAACTAAACGAAAATAATCAAGATAGAAGTCTAGAAGTGAATATACCTAAGTTTTACGGAGGAAAAGATAAGGTAAAATGTGAGATGATTTGGTAAGCTTTATAAAGCTCAAGACACAATTGATCTAATGGAAATCTATCAGTAGGAAGGTATTCAGTAATGATAATAATGAGATACGCTGAAATATAATGAGACACTTACTCTCTTTCCGAAAGATAGGGTTTGGATTGATCTACATCACAGTAAAGCACAATACGTGATGTTGTCTTAGACAAGAAAAAATGGAAACCATGATAACAATACCAACACATGACTTAATCCAAAACCCGCTACAAAGCTACACTTGACCTCAGTCTTGATTCAAACTTTTGGAGTTGACTATGACATCACTTTTGCCCCTACTGGCAAGCCTGCGTCCTACCGGATTGTTGTGTCTATCACCGCTTTTCATGGCTGGGAGGTTCATGGTATGGACACTGTGGCTGCTTTCCGGAATTTTGGCTTAAAAGAAGAAGTCTACATGGAACAGCCAGAGGGCTTTATTGCGCCGGGTGCTGAGGGGAAGGTTTGTTTTCTCCTGCAAGCCATTTACGATCTAAAGCAGTCTGCGCACGAGTGGAACAACAAGTTCAAAACAATGTTGCTCAGTATCAGCTTTGTTCAGGCTGAAGGCGACAAATGCATCTATATCCGGCGCAAGTCTTCTGCCAACATCATTGTGTTCTACCTCCACGTCGACAACATGGCAATCACCGGTACCCAAATAGCCATCCCTGCCTTCAAGAAGGAAATTATGCAGTTCTGGGAAGTGGAGGACCTTGGCCCGGTATCTGGTGTAGTAGGCATTGAAACTATGCGTCTCTCTCATCATCACTACACAATTCACCAGCGTTCAATGACGGAGTCTCTGCTTCTGCGTTTTGGTCTTGCTGACTGCAAACCCGCATCTACACCAGTGCAAGGTGGTTTAAAACTTCTGTCCTCATCCCCTGACGAAGCATCTGAGTTTGCTAAACAAAATCTACCTTACTGTTCTGGCTTTGGAAGTCTTATGTATATCTCCCAGTGTACAAGGCCAGACATTGCGTACGCGGTCGGTGTCTTGTCGCAACACCTGGACAATCTGTGTCAACAACACTGGGACGTGTTACGTCACGTCTTACGTTATCTGCGCGGCACCTTAAATCTCGGTATTCACTACCACGCAGGGGATTTTGAACCTTTCCGTATGTGTCCAGGTTAGGGTTAGG